GCACTGCCCTGGAGCTGCTTACTTCCATAGGGAAATGGTTCCAGCTCTGCAGCTGGAGGTTTCCTGAGGTGACCTGGCATCCAGACATGTTCCATGTGCCCCTCGTGCTTCCTCACCCAGGCTGGCCAGGCCCAGCACAGCTGCTCTTCCCATCCAGGGGTGGGTGCAGAGCTGGGGACTCAGGGCCATGGGGCACAGCTCTGCTGGCTCCAGTCTGATACTGGGTAGTGAAAGGTTCATCCCAGCTCTCAACTGGGACAGAAGAACAGCGAGGGGTTTGGTGGCATTCCAGTGAATTCTGTGCCTTCCCTCACCTGTCGGTGGGTCCCCTCAGCTTATCTGGGCTCTCTCTGTCCCTTCACAGCACTGGGACAGGGAGGCTGACACAGGATCTGGGCCGCTGTCCCCTTTCCCGGGGCAGCTCTGCTGCTGTTCCTGCCTAGCAGGGGACACCACCAAAGCCACTGTGTGTGTTTTCTAGGGGGAAGTTAAGAGACACCATCCTGGACTGGGAAGATTCCCTGCCCGACCGTGACCTCACGCTGGCGGATGAAGCCTGCAGGTACCATGCTGGGGCTCCCCACACTGCAGGAGGCTGCCTGGGCTCTGCCTGCAGCACTCTGCTCAGGGGCTGAGCCTGGCTTTGCCCATCTGCACCTCACAGCCCTGAGGCTGTCCCCGCAGCACAGCAACAGCCAGCCCTGCCCCAGAGAGTGGCCAAGAGAAACCACTGCAAACTGCTTGCGCCCTCGCTGGGAAGCTTGTAGAGTCCACACTGGAGCAGGGTAGGGGAAGCAGCTTGCAAACAGCCATGGCTTTTTCTCTGCCCTGGATGTTTTGTCTCCCCCCTGCAGGAAAGCTGATCTCTCCATCACTCTGGGGACCTCTCTGCAGATCAAACCCAGCGGCAACCTCCCACTGATCACGAAGAAGAGAGGAGGGAAGCTGGTCATCGTCAACCTACAGGCAACGAAACATGTGAGTGAGAGTGTCCTGGCTGCTGCCCAGCTCCTTTCTCCTCGTTTCACTTGTTCCAACCCTGTCACAGGATGGCCAGGCAGAAGAGTGGCCTCACTTAGCAAGCAAACAGGCTGAACTTTCCTGGTTGGAGGGTTTAAACCTGCAGTAAACCCCTGGAAATGTATAGAAATCCTGACGTATCCTCTGGTGAATTCCAGCCTGATGAAATAACCTCACAGATGTGCCCATGCCACAGGGCAGTTGGGTTCCTGTTCAGCCCTGGGTTTGGTGCTCTAACTGTCCAAAGTGCTTGGAGTTTCTGGCGTGTTGTCAGAGCTCCCTTGTTCCAGTCCCCTGGGCTCACCAGCCGGGCTCTGTGTCCATATCCCCGTCTCAGCTGCATTCTGAGGCACACCCTGGCACAGCCCCAGGTAGAGGGCACCTGGTAGAGCAGTGCAGGCAGTGGTGCCAGATGGGTCAGTTCATCTTCCACCTGGGATGATTCCTTGGGGACAGGAGCCCCGGAGCCTGCGTGCAGCCAGGCTGTCACCCAGGCACTGTCCCTGTGCACTCCCAGGGAGGGACACTGGTCCCTGCACACTGTTTGTCCCATCAGGGACTGTAGCAATAGGACAACGGGAGATGGGTTTAAACTGAAACACGGGAAGTTCAGGTTATATCTAAGGAAGAAGCTCTTCCCTCTGAGGGTGCTGAGGTGCTGGCACAGGGTGCCCAGAGAAGTGGTACATGCTCCATCCCCGGCAGTGTTAAAGGCCAGGCTGGACAGAGCCTTGGGCGACATGGTCTGGTGTGAGGCATCTCTGCCCATGGCAGGGGGGTGGAACTGGATTATCTTAAGGTCCTTTCCACCCCAAACCATTCTATGATTCTATGTCCTTGCCTGTGGTAGGGAGTTTGGACTTGATGGTCTTTAAAGGTCTCTTGCAACCAAAACTGTTCCATGGTTCTAACATGCCCTTGCCTGTCCCAGGATAAACAGGCTGACCTCCGCATCCACGCGTACGTCGATGATGTGATGACAAAGCTGATGAAGCACTTGGGGCTGGAGGTGCCAGAGTGGACGGGGCCCATGGTGGTGGAACACGCGGAGCTCTCCAAGCCTGAGCAGCTCTGCAGGTTCGAGGCCGGGGCTCGAGGGCCGTGCAAGGAGGAGCTGCTCTCCCAGCACAACGGCACGGGTGGGCTGAGCCCTGACCTTGGGACCATGCTGGTGGAACGCCGTGACAGCCTGAAGCATGAGTGTCCCAGCCCGGACATGGGGCCAACAACAGTGAAGAAGGTGAAGGTGGAGCCTCTCCTCACCTGACCCAGACTGGTCCCTGCCTGTCCAGACACTCTGTGCCACTTTTCCTGCCGACTTTTTTTAATACCCTGAAACACTGTCCCTTTTTTATGTAAGTATTAAAAACACTCGGATCATGACTCGGGGCAGCTGCGCCTGCAGGCCCAGGCAGGGCACTTGAGACGTACTGAGCTCCTTGTTCCTCCTCTGCAAGGAGGTGCTTTTGGGGCACCTCCAGACCTCGGGAGGTTGAGGGATGGGGTGCTGGGGCAGCTGATACCACCCTAAATGAAGCCAGGGTTGGGCTTTGGGTGCCTGGTCCTGCTGCCTCTGGCTGTGCCCACAGCTTTGGTGCAGCACCCGGCATGGTGTGGCCACAGACCATGGTTCTGCTGTGCCCCGTTGCCTTGTGGCAGCGAGGCTCGAGGTGTCCCCACCCCTGGGGTCCTGGAAACCTTGTGGCTCCCCCCGTGTTGAATTAAAGCAGGTGCATTTTTTTCCAAAATATCTTGTATTTAGAGATGAAAATAAAGCTTAAAAAAAAACAAACGAAAAAGAGCCACTTGCAACATTGGCCAGCCCAGGGCCGCTGCAGCTCCTGATGCTAGGGAGGCTGGAGCCACTCCTCCCCTCCCAGTAAGGCCACTGGGAACCATCTCATTTTCCCAGTTGACAGATACAAGCAAAGCGAAGCATGTCCAGCATCCCCCTGTGCCCAGGGGCAGATCCTAAAGGGGTCACCCCGAGGTGCCACCCTGCACCACCTCAGTGTGTCCCCCCATCGTCCCTGGGTGCTGCCTAAAGCTCCTCACCTGGCTCCAGTGCCATGGGCCTGCTGTGCTCAGCCTGGCTCCAAGCCAGTGGTGCCAGGCCGTGGTGCACTGCGGTTCCATCCTCTGACACAGGGACACTTTGGTCCCCGTCCCCAACGCTCAGCCCCTCAGAGGGAAGTGGCTGCGTGTCGTTATGGGGAGATGCTTTGTCCAGGCGTGGGGTGAACGCGTGCCCACCAAAGGCTTCGTGCAGGGTCTTGCCCAGGCGCTCTGACCACAGCGGTTCTGGGGGCTTCTCGTCCCCAGCCTGGGGCTGTGTATAAGCCACGCGGGAGGCGGCTGCATTGTGCAGGGACCTGGAGAACACTGAGTGTGCAGGAGGATAAGGGGCTGCTCCAGTGCACCGGGACCCTGGCACAGCCCCAGCACGGCCCCGGCACAGCGCTCACCTCGCACGGGTCTGAAGTCGCCATCTGCCTCGGCCCTGCTGGGGGCAAACGGGCTCATGGAGGGGAAGATGATGAGAGTGAAGGAGAGCAGCAGGACCTGGGGGCAGAGGGGTGTTACCACGCACAGCCCAGGAGGGAGACATGTTCTGGGGCATGGCTGTGAGGGACAGGGCTGGCAGCTGAACCAGGTCTGCATCCCTCTGTCCCTCCTAGTGTGTATGCCCCTGGCAGCACATCCATCTGTCCCTTCCTCCCTCTATCCATTCTGTCCATCCATCCGTTTTGTCCATCCATCCTTTCCTCCATCCCTCCCTCCTTCTGTCCCTCCCTCCCTCCCTCCATCCTCATATGCCTCCATCCCTTTGTCCATCCACTCGCCCTCAGAACACCCATCCCTCTGCCCTAGCCCATGTCCCTT